AACAACAACAACAAAGCAGTCTTTAGACTGAATGCAATCCTGATCAAAATTCCAATAGCCTTCTTTTCGGAAATGAAAAATCAGTCTTCAGCTTTATATGGAATGGCAAGAGTCTCCAGATAGCTAAAGCAATAGTGGAAGAGAAGGACAAAGTAGGATGACTCACATTTCCTAATTTTAAAATGTACTATACAGCTACAGTAATCAATACAGCCTGGTAGTGATATAATAATAGACACATAGACCAATGGAATGGAATTGAGAGTCCCAGTATAAACCCACACATCTGTGGTCAGCTGATTTTTGACAAGGGTACTAAGTCCGTTTGATGGGGAAAGAAGAATTTCTTCAATGAATGGTGCTGGGAAATTTTCATTTCCATATGCAGAAAAATGAAACAACATGTGTGATTTGCAACATACAGGAAAACAAATTCAAAATGGACTGAGGATTTAAATGTGCAAACTAAAACATAAAGTTCTTAGAAGAAAAAGTAAGGACAATGTCGTCAAGTCTGCCTTTCAACAATGGATTATCTAATACAACAACAAAAGCAGAAACAGCAAAAGATAAAATAAATGACTGGGGCTTCTTAAAAAGTAAAAAGTTTTGTTCATCCAAAGACTTTACCAAAAAAGTAAAGTTACCTACTGGGAGAATATCTTTGGAAAACATACATTCTACAAGAATCTAATAACAAAATATGTTTATAAAACTTTGACAACAACAAAAAGATAACCCAGTCATCAAATGTACAAAAGACTTGCATAGACATTTCACCAAAAGAACATTCAGATGGTGACCAACACATGAAAAGATACTTGGCGTCATTAGCCATCAGAGAGATACAAATCCAAACCACAGTGAGATACCATTTTACTCCCACTAGGAGGCTAAGTATAATAATAATAATAAAAAAAAAACAACCAGAAAATAACAAATGTTGGCAAGGGTATGGGGAAATTGAAACTCTTACTCATTGCTAGTGAGAATGCAAAATGGAACAGTTCCTAAAAATGGCAGTTCCTAAAAAATGTTTTCAAAGAACTATCATGTGACCCAATAATTCCTCGGTATATACCCAAACCACTTTAAAGAAGATATTCAGAGATTTGTACACCATTGTTCACTACAGCAGTATTCACAGTAGCTAAAAGGTGGAAACAGCCTAAATGCCCATTAAGAGATGAATTAATAAACAAAATTTGATACATACATACAGCGTTATAGGACTCAGCCAGTAGAGAAATGAAGTCTTGATATGTGTTGCAATTCAGATGGAGCAGGAAAGCATTATACTGAATGAAGCAAGTCAATCACAAAAGCACAACTATTATATGACCTGTCTTTTATTAAAAGGCAAGAAAACGCAAATGTACAGAGACTAAAGTTTATTAGTGGATACCATGGGCAGAAAGGAGAGGCGAAAGGGGGGTTAGTGGTGATGGAAAAAGCACAGTGATTAAGGGCAGAGTTGTACAATCAATTATTGTAAATAATGTCAATACATTGTATACCTGTAAAAAGTTGAATTGGTAAAAGTGGTATGATAGATATATTTACCACCACAACAGCAACAACAACAAAAAGATAACTTCTGAGGCTTCTTATGCACAACTAAAAACCTCATGGGATTTGGTTTCTTGATTTGGAAACTTAGGATCATGGTTTCATAAGACATTCCCATAAAACATTTAATAACATGTTTCATGCCTCTGTTCTACCTCTAGTTCAATGTGTAGTGCCTTGGGTCTTAAAAGCTTGCAAGCAGCCATCCAGGGAACTGCAATTGGTCTCTGTTTGTTTAGAAAAACAAAGAAAGGAGAGTGAGGAATAGGAGAAGGATATGAAATATGTGGTTAATTGTCTCCATTAACAACTATCTCCTTTGTCATAAGACCAGAAGAACTGAATGATGCCAAGCTACCATTACTAAACATTTTAATCAAAGATTGCATAGAAGAATCCTGATCAAAAGAGGGGAAATGTAAAACAATTTCAAATCCTCATGGATTCTGGACTTCCTGGAGTCATAAAGGTTGTATGAACCCTTACAATATTGCTCTGAGATAATCTTTAAACTTTAAACCAAAAATATCCCTGAAGTCTTCTTAAAATCAAACAGTGGTTTAGATTAACTGGCAAAAAAAAGTTCCGCCTTGAGCATTATGCTCTTTTGAGAACTATCTATATGGGATCTAAGTGACAATGGCAACTGGAAAGATTAGATATGAACCTCAGAGGTCAGTGAATTTATGTTAATGTTAGGTGCCATTGAGTTTTTCTGATTTATAGCGACCCTGTGTGCAACAGAACAAAATACTGCCTGGTCCTGTGCCAGCCTCACAGTCATTGCCATGCTTGAAGCCATTGTCACATTCACTGTGTCAATCCATCTCATTCAGGGTCTTCCCCTTTTTTGCTGACCTTCTACTTTACCCAAGCATGATACCCTTCTCCAGGGATTGGTACCTTCTGACAGTGTTACCAAAGTATAAGAGACAAAGTCGGGCCATTCTCACTTTTAAGGAGCATTTTAGCTATACTTTGTCCAAAAAAGATTTGTTTGTTTTTCTAACAGGCAGTGCTCCTTTAAAATTCTTTGCCATAAGACAATGTTACCCTGCTATTCATGAGGTCTTCAGTGGCCAGTTTTTCAGAAATGGACCTGGACTATGTCCTTCCTCCTAGTTTAAGACAGTCTGTCTTATTCTGGAAGCTTTGCTGAAATCTGTCACCCCAGATGAACCTGTTGATATTTCAAATATTGGTGGCATAGCTTGTAGCATCACAGTAGCATGCAAGCTATCACAGTAGGACAGACTGACAGGAATAGTGGTATGTTAATGGGGAAGGAAGGAACAAGTCAGAAAAGAAGAGTGAGAATGGCTACACAACTGGAAGAATGTGGTCTGTGTCACTGAATACTACATGCAGAAATTGTTGAATTGGTTTATGTTTTGTTGCATATATTCACAACTAGAACAAAGTAAATAAGATGGTATTTTTTTAAAAAAAGAGGTGAAATATATTTTCAGATAAGGGAAAACTAGAACTTGTCAACAGACTCACACTATAAAGAAACGCTAATGGAAATTTTTCAGGATGAAGGGCTATGTCACTAGAAGAAAACTCTTACCTTCAGGAACTCAGTAAAGAGCACCAGAACAAGCAAATATGTGATATTTATTTATCTCTCTTAAGTCTTTGAAAATACGTATGACTGTTTAAAATAAAAATGATAACTTTATAGAGTTTATAATATACAAAGATAATAATGAATATGACACAGTTTAACACATGATGTACAACAAATATGACAATGATAAGGTAAATGGATTCTTCATTTTACATGAGGCAGTGTATTAACCTGAGAAGATGTAAAATTAAGGATGGTACAAGGATAATAATCAGTATAAATCACTTACTTACTTTTCCACTTCCCTGTCAGCTGTTAGCCAAAAGGTCGGCAGTTTGAAACCCCCACCCACTCCGTGGGAAAAAGATAAGACAGTCTGCTTCTGTAAAGATTGACAGCCTTGGAAACCCTATGGGGCCGTTCTTCTCTTGTCCTATAGTGTTGTAATGCGTCAGAATTGACTCAATGGCAGTGGTTTGGGTTTTTTAGTTTGACACCATCTGCAATATGTAGCACTTCTCTCCCTGACCCTAGCCACCCAGAACTAAGTCAGATTTCTCAGGTTAAAAAGGACACACTGCAGTCCAGCTGCCAGTGTAACACTAATTCCGTTGATTCTAGCCACCTGTAGTTAGGACAGATATCAGAAGTTAAAAGAACACCATTCTTTCAGCTGCCAAATAGGCAGACACCACCTGCAAACTCAGGAGTCTTCTCCTAATTTCTGACCTGCTGGCTACAAATTCAGGGGGTCCCTCTACCCCCTCAGGATACCAGTGGTAAGCACAGGGGTTCCCAGTCCCCTCAGTTCTGACCTGCTAGCTTTCACTACTTCTTTGGGTTCAGTAATTTGCTGGAATGACACACACAGCTCATGGAAAATACTATACTTATAATTACAGCTTTCTTTTAGGGATAAGAATACAAATGAAGAAGCAAATAGTGTGAAGCCTAGGAAGGTTCTCAGCACAGAGCTTCTATGACCCCAAAAAGGTTGGACTGCCTTCCCACATGCATGAATGTTTTTCAGGAACCAGGAAACCCCTGGAGCTTCCATGTCAGGCATTACGTAATGCACATTTCAGCTCCTCTCTTTTGAGGTTGTCTGATATCACATATTTGAATTCATAATGTTTTTATTAGATTTGTATTCATTATGTTAACTTGTTGTTTTAAAACATGTTAAAATGTTTTTAGGGGAAGTTTTTGTTGGAAAAAGCAAGGATGTAAAACGTTTATTTTTTTAATATTCTTACGAAGACTGCAAAATGCTGAATTAAAAAGCTGTCATTTTCATTACATGTTTACTCTTTTTGATCTCTAGCTTTCTAACATAGATCTTACATACTACTCATTAAGTCATTACTATCAAAGATGTATAAAAGCCAAGAAGTTCATTTTAGATACCTGGGGGGAAATGTTAACATTATTTTCTGTGATGAAGTATAAAAATATCCTGTTTATTATATTTAATAAAATAGAACTATTCATGATGGAATTTACTTTTGAATAATGGGGTCAGGGAAAAGTAGTAAATGTCTTTCCTGAAACTTACTTTGTGTGTGTGTGTGTGTGTGTGTGTATGTGTGTGTGTGTTTTCAGTGGTGTTCCCATTAGTTAAGATAGCATTCATGAAAAATATTTGTTTTTTGAAATGGATGTTTGTAGTTTTTCAACTCATTTGCAAGGATAGTGAGTGAAACTTGATTCTCTCTTATCTGAGACATCTTCAAAATATTATTTGAGTAGAGCAATGAAAGAATAAAAATTTTCTACCAGCACAGAACTATTATGTTCATGTTTTTGCATAGAGTATAACTTCTTAGGAAATAATTAGCTTTACTTTTAATTTTCTCCACAGCCTCATGATTTTGATGAATGTCGATTTGATATTAGTGTGAATGACAGTGTTTGGTATCTTCGTGCTCAGGATCCAGATCACAGACAGCAGTGGATAGATGCCATTGAACAGCACAAGGTAGGGTTTTCAATGTTTATCTCTCCATGGAGGACTCGGAAACAGACCAGTGATGATTCCTCTAAAAAATCATGAGATATATACAGGGTTGGCAGACAATGGGCCTCTCGAAGAGTATGAAGGGATGGACACTGGGAGGAGGTAACTATGGGGAGGAAGTGGGAGGGGAGCTGCTGCATTGTAAATTTTGGTCAATGACATGAGACAAAGTATATGTGAACTGCTGTATGAAAAGTGAATTTACTCTGTAAATCTTCACCCAAATCCTAATAAAAAAAAAAAAAAAATCATGAGATGTAACATTTGTTAGGAGCTCTGGTGGCATAGTGCCTAAGGCACTTGACTGCTAACCAGAAGGCTGGCAGTTCAAGCCCACCAGCCACTCCTTGGGAGGAAGATTGGGCAATCTACTTCCATAGTGATACCGCCTCAGAAACCCAAGGAGGGGTCACTATGAGTCAGATCCGACTCATTGGCAGTGAGTTTGGTTTTTGGTGACGTATGTTACTGAAAAGTTGATCATTATTTGGAGTAAATGTTAAACCAGTACAGATGTAAATTTCTTTTAAGTTTGATATATAACACATGTGTTTAGCTAAAAGAATTTGCTATGATAAACATTAATTTTAAGTTTTAATGAAAAAAAACATTATGCCTTTTTTCTATAAAACAAATTTTGATATTAATGTGGAGGATATAGTTCATAATAAATGCTTTATCTGTGATCCTAGATAAAATGAATTTTGAAATTATAATGGGTTATAAACATCTCTAATATTAAAAGCTTCAGTTTAAGTTGTTGTAGTCATCTGTGACCATTTGGGTAAATTCTTCATGTAAACATTTGTGAATCATTTAAATCTTTGTAAATAAACTAGTAACAAATTTGCAGACTTTCTTATATAAATGCATGCTATATTCTTGTAATTTAAAGCTAGTCATTGACTTTTTGTTGGGTATAAGTGGTAAGCAGACTAAACAAATACATAATCTGCATTACTAGCTAATTCAATAATATCATGATAAAGAATATAGAAAGTTCTAAATTCACCATGATATTCTAGAGTGTTACTTAAGAGAACTTTATACTTGTTCAAAACTTGTCTGAGTTTCACAGAGTTGTTGAAACTCCTGTTTTGATTATTTAATAGGCACAACACACACAAAAAACAAGAAAAACCAGTCTGTCCTGGGTTGTGCCACAAGAGCATTCTTATTAATATCAATCACATGTTAGCTATTATTTCTTGATTGATTGAGTGATTAAGAATTCTTCCCAAGCTAAAGAAAACTGGCTATACCTTTCTTTTATTCCCTCTTTTTAGCTTCACTGCTACATTGGTTTAAAACATTTTGTCTTAGTTATCTTGACATTATTACTCCAGAAAACTGTCTGAAAATGGAAAAATGGGAAACATTTTTATATCATTTGAAAGAGAAATGAGCCTTGGAGATAGGCCTGAATTCAAATACTACATTACTAGCTAATTCAATATCTTGATAAAGAATAGAGAAAGTTCTGAATTAGCCATGATATTCTAGAGTGTGACTTAAGAACACTTTATACTTGTTCACATTCTTGTCTGGATTTGTGTATCACATATATGACCTTGGGCATGGCAATTAACCCCTTCTCGGTGTGTTTTTCTCAGCTGTAACTGGTGATAATATTTCTACGTAGAGTAGTACTAAGCAATCAATGAGATATATATGTAAAATGCTTACCAGGATGCCTGGAAAAAATAAGAGTTTTAAGTATAAGTTCAGTAATATACCATGCTGTTTCTGGATGAAGTGTTCTACATTTAATGAGAGTTGCTAAATGTGTATATGAGGAAAGTGGCCTATTTCATGTATTTTCATCAAGGCCAGCCCTGTCTCTAACGATATTATTAAGTAGAACTAATTTCTATGTTGTTAACAAGAACTTTGAACCAGTTCATTCGGGTTCAACCCCCTGCTGATAATCTGCATTTCTGCCCCAGATAATGCTGAATCAGAATCTACATTTTCACAAGATCCCCAGGTGATACATAAGAATCAGTTGGGGATCTTGTTTAAATGTAGATTCTGATTCCTTGTATCATGGGGTTGTTGTTGTTGTTGTTATGTGCTGTCGAGTCGGACTCGACTCGTAGCGACCCCTCCTTGGGTTTCCGAGGCAGTATCACTACCGAAGTAGATTGCCCTATCTTCCTTCCGAGGAGTGGCTGGTGGGTTTGAACCGCCAGCCTTCTGGTTAGCAGTCAGGTGCCTTAGCCACTATGCTATCATGAGGTAGAAATGCAAATTCTTACCAGTGAGTTGAACCCAAATGAACCAGTTGGAGGTGCCCCGGTTTTTAACTGAAATTACATTTAAAGGGGTAATCAGTTGATTTAGAGTATATAACTAGTTCCTTCTGTTTTAATTAAGCATATTTTATTTTATAATCTTTCTCAGTAAAGTCAACTATGATTTCTTTGCAAGGTTCTCATGTTAACAGTATTTTTTTCTTAAGTTAAGGAGCTTCAAGCATCTATTTGTTCCATATTTCGAATTTCTTTGCATCTTTGAAGAATGGTTGGATACAATGTTTGAGTCTCTCTCAGAGCAGGGAAACACTAATGGTTAAAGTGCTTGGCGACTGACGGAAAGATTGAAGATTTAAGTCCACTCAGAGGTGCCTTGGAGAAAAGCCTGGCAATCTACTTTGGGAAGATCACAGTCATTGAAAACACTATGGGGAGCGCATTTCTACTCTGACACACTTGCAGTTGCCATGAGTCAGAATCTACTTGATGGCAACTTGTTCTCAGAATTTGTTGTTATTATGATTGTGTGCTATCAAGCTGGCTCCAACTCATAGTGACCCTATGAGCAAAACAATGCCTGGTTGTGCTATCCTCACAATCCTTGCTGTACTTGAGCCCATCATTCTACCCACTGTGTCAATCCTTCTAGTTGAGGGTCTTCCCCTCTTTCTCTGACCCTCTATATTATCAAGCATGATGTCCTTCTCCAGGAAATGGTCCCTTCTGACAACATGACCAACATAGGTGAGACAAAGTTTGTCATACTTGTGTGTTGCTGTGAGATTGGAGGCTATGCACCTGGTATTTCAAATACCAGCGGGGTCATCCATGGTGAACAGGCTTCATCAGAGCTTCCAGACTAAGACAGACTGGGAAGAAGGAAGGGGCCATCGACTTCTCAAAGAATTGGCCAGTGAAAACCTTATGAATAGCAGTGAAACACTATGTGTTATATTACTGGAAAACATTCTTAGAGCAGTGTGACTTCATCTGAGCAGGTTTAGGATAATAGCTTGTTGGTGAATTTAATTTCTTGGGAAACAATGTAGCTGCATAGTTCCAGATACATTGTCCAAACACTTCTGATTTCTAACAGTAGTTTATTCATGGATAAAGAAGGTGAAGTCATTTTTAATTATCAATATTTTAATGTACATGTGTCAACTAAGCAGCGTATCAGTGAAAATTTAAATAGAATGTGAACTCTAAAAATAAATTGTTTTTATTTATTGGGCTAACACTTAGGAAAAAATTTCAAAAGCCATTAGCAAACACAGTCAGTAGCTTTTTTTTTCCTGCATTCTAGAAACAGGGAGATAGTGAAGATGTGTTTCCTGATACTGAATGTGAAACCTAAATTATTTTTACTGTATAAACATGAATTGTATTGATATTCAGAATTAATATTAAGTTGTTATGCATTATAATAATAATGAGAATATGAGCTACCACTTATTAGGGATCACCAAAAAGTAATTATTTTAACTGCTTTGTGTTCTATATTTTTTTCCTACTATCCTGAGAAATTAGGGGTAGTATTGTTTTACAGTTGAAGAACCTAAGGCTTAGATTAAACTTAAGTAAATTGCCTGAGGATATACTACCTTTTTCATTTTTGGTTGCTTACTCCCTGCCCCCCCCCCCAAAAAAAAAACCCACTGTCAGTCCAGTCAATTCCAACTCTTAGCAACCCTGTAGGACAGAGTAGAACTGTTGCATTGGGTTTCCAGGGCTGTAAATCTTTATGGAAGCAGGCTGCCTCATCTTTCTCCCAGGGAGTGACTGATGATTTCAAACCACCAACCTTTCAGTTACCAGCCAAATGCCTTAACCATTACACCACCTATTTTGTTCATTCTGCTTTTTGTCAATTACTCTGATTGTTTGAGTTTCCTTGAGCTCAACTCCTACAGGTTATCTATATCATGTGAGTTCCAATACCATGTATGTATATATATACACACACACACACATATATAACTATTATAAATAAGTAATTCTGGTAAGCATTTGCCAAAAAGAGCAATATGCTAGTTAGTGTTTGAGTCTTGGAGTCTGACACATAATGGGCTTGAAACCTGGCACTACTACTTAGCTGGGTGACTGTAGTAAGTTACTTAAAAGAGAAAATATGACAGAATGATAATAGTATGTTATCCCTCAAAGCAAAAGCATAAAACCAAAATAACCAAGTCTTGATAAACCAAGACTCATGTTTTTCAGAAAAGGCCTGGACTCCCATCATTCAAATGATAGAAATGACACTGGAGATCACATGATAGAATTTTGCAATACCAATGACTTATTCATCGCAAATACCTGTTTTCCAGCAATATAAATGGTGACTGTACACGTGAACCACACTAGATTGGATATACAGGAATCAAATTAAATACATCTGTGGAAGAAGTGATGGAGAAGGTCAATATCATCAGTTAAAACAACACCAGCAGCTGACTGTGGAAACCAAAAAAAAAAAAATTGCCATCAAGTTGATTTCAACTCACAGTGGACCCCCATTGGGTTTCTAAGGCTGGAAATCTTTACAGAAAGAGATTGCCCCATCTTCCTTCTGTGGATTGGCTGTTGAGTTGGAACAACTGATCTTTTGGTTAGCAGCCAAATGCCTTATCCACTATGTCACCAGAGCTCCTTCCTGATTGTGAACAGATCATCAGTCTGTTGCAGTTCAGTTGCTTATATGCA